GGCGTGCCGGCGCCGATCTCAGCTGGGCTGATCCTTGTGCACTCGCTCCCTTTCCTCCTCATCTCGCCGGTCGGATGCTTGATGCAACCCCAATATAGTGTGCGCGCGTACCACGGGGACAGCCTAGTCGCCTACGCGCGACACGTTTTATACGGCAAGGGCTAGTGCCTGTGCCTCTCGGTCTCACTCAGCTCAAAGGAAAAAAGCAAGCGGACTTCTGCAAGTATGTGACAAGAGCATGAAAGGCACTGCAAGGTGCAAGGTAGAGCAGAAAAGAAAAAGAAACAAAGGGAGACTGAGACACAAGGCACTGAAAGAAAAAGGCTGGTCTAATTGACCGCTATGGTGGCATCGATCGGATCAGAGAAGCGATGAGCAGACTGCAGAGTGATGGTTCATCGATTCAATATGACCAGGAACTCGCCAAGGCTTGCAGCTTTAAAGCAGGAGAGGCAGAGCCCAGAGGCCAGAGCAACAGGAGACGAGACGAGGCCCCGACCCCGACGTGTGGGTTGGTGCCCGAGGGGCGGTATATTCTTGTTGCCTTGCGCCGGTGGTGGTGGCCGGAGAATATTTCCAGTGGAAGCGAGCAAGCAGATCTTGCAAAGGATCCAAGCCTAGCCGAGGCTGGAGACGGAAAAGTAAAGCAGAGCGAGAGGCGGGAAGGCCGGAAGGTAGAACATGACTGTCAGAGTAAGAGGCCGAGCTCGCAGTTCTTTTGAGGCTGGCCGCGCTAGCCGAGCCGTGCTGAACTGCTGAGTGCTGAGCCGTTTTCAGGGACAGGTCGCACAAGGCGACGCGACGGGGAGACATGGAATTGACGGGCCGGGGCGCGGCGGTGCTCGCGGAAGGGGACACCGGACACGGAGGGGCTGCCCCGGCGTGCGCGCTGCCCGAGGCATGACGACATGGGACGCGACGTGTGCGTCATGGACGATGCGGCGCGCGGGCACCAATCATTGAGCATTTCGGGGGGGACGTTTTCTCGGGAATGTGGGTGGGCTGCTGAATCGCTGCCCGATCGAGCGCTGGGGCGACAGATGACTGCGCCGGCTGTGCAGGTCGCGGGCAGTCGCAGTCGCAGTGCTGCAGTACGGCAGGGGCGCCGGCGTTCCTGCCGTCGTCTTTTGCGCGCGCGCTACTTTTTCCTTTGGTTTCTCTGGCTCCGGATACCGATTGTTCGCTTCGAGTTCCGACTCCGAACAGGTTCGGCCTCGCCCTCCCGCCTTGGAAACCGGGAGCTTGGCGTTTTTGTCTTTCATTCACAACTGTCTTTGACTGCATCTCGGACATTGCATGAGAGAATGGATCACGATGCATAATCTGGCTCGGATGTTTGTTTGTTTTTACCAAAACACACTATACTCATACAAGCTTACGGACACACATCTAACCCTGTGAGTATCATCAACAGGCAGTCAAGCGCTATCGTAGCTGTAAATGCAAGCACTAGTGCTTAGTCATGCTATTCTCAATCTGTTATTTTGGGACAACTCTATATTTGCTGCAACTCTTTGTGGTTCTCTCACTCGTTCGGTGGTCAATTTCATGATGCATGACATGACTCGGTGCTTTGCAGTCAAAATTGGTAGCCCCGTGCTGAATACGTACGTGTACCGGTGGTTTAGCCGTCCTGGTTTCGTGTTTGTTTTGGGTCGGTTTTAATGTCGCATTCGTGATGTATTCAAACTTGATCCCGGGATACATGCCTCTCACCCTATAAATATGAAAGAGTACGGTCAATTGAGGATATCCTACATGTTTACTATTTTTTTCTCCAAACCCTAAACACTTTTCCAACCGTAATTTCTATTCTCTCTTCGTCTCTACGACAACTTGAGTTGTTCTAAGTCGCCTTATTGACCTTAGAACAACTCTAAGTGCACTAATCCCAACAGGGTCCCTCTCGGACTAGTGTTCAAAGGTTTTACAGCAGAGGATTTATCGATCTGCAATCCGCACATTCGCCTAGTGCTCTAGTGTGTGGCCACCTTTTGCGCCAACATACTTCAGTGGGGAAGAAATTAATGAAATTTACTATAATGGCCGAATCGAAAGGGTGATTTGATGGATCCAACAAATCCCAAAAACATTGTTAAGACTACGACTATGAACAACTTCATGAGGAGATCCACAAGATGTTGGAGGAGAGGGCCAGGGCCCAAGCAGCTATTGATCCTTGTTATCATGAGAGATTGCAGTAAACTCCAACATTTCCTTCTTCTTAGTTGCGCCATCATGATTTACTGAAGTAAATAAGCAAGGCATGGTGATCACGCGGTGATAAAGTTACACTGTTGTAAACATGTAATCTAAACAAAACATAATAAAATTTACTCTGCAGCAGTACAAATATACAATATATAACCTCTTATATATTCTTCGGATCACCTATCTAATTGACCCAAGACAAAAAAAAAAGAAGAAGGTTAAAATAACACCTTCTACAGAGGGAGCACGTTCATTTATCATAGACACGGACAAGAAAATTAGGGCTCGTTTGGTTAGTCCAGATCTCCCTGGGCATCGTTCCAGCTGATCAAAGACTATATAAATTAAGCAACCGAACGAGGCCTTGGATCAGTCTTTGAGCTCGACGATGCAGGTTGGTGATGCACCCGCCGGTCTACCATCGTGTGAGCCGTCCTGGAATTTGCGTTTTATTGCGCGACCGTGTTGTCGAGCGTCAACCACGTGCTCATCGCCGTGGCGACGTCGTGTTGAGCGCCGGCAGCAATATCTCTAGGTCGTGCTACGTGTAGTCTGCCATCACGCTAGGAAAGAAAACCAAAGCATGGGGGGGGGCGCTGCTGTGGGTCCAACCTCCTGGACATTTTACTATGGGTTGGCTATTAGGTAGCCCGTGGCCATTAACATCTGAAAGCTAGTGGCCCCTAAGGCGCGTATTGACGTGTTTTTTTTTTTTTGTTTCATGGGCTGGGCCAGCATCAGCAACAGAGCAGATTCGGTACCCAACGGTCGATGGGCTAGCGAAGTGACCATCTTGAGATGCGAGATGGACAACATTGACCTTACTTGCGTGCTGGACTGCTGGTGCTGTACTGCTGTGAAGTTTTGTCATTGACGGCAGACAACATAGAGAGAATTTACAATTGCTTCATATATGCTTCAGTCGTGTCGTTAAGAGGATTTACAACTGTGAACGTATAGCTTAGCTGGATTTTTTATGAAATAGATTTTTATGGTTTTTTTATGAAATAGATTTTTATGGTGAAATATGTCTATCTAGATTTTAAGTCCTCGATTTGACGTAGGTGCTTGCATTTTTCTGGATTTATTCTCAAAACCTAATGGTGTCATTCTTTTAGCGGCAAGCAACGTGTTGATAGAGAGGCGTCTGTGGTGACTTCATTAATCTTAAAAGTGTTAGTCTAACACAGTCTTTCCGAGATGCTCATGCGGACAAGATATATGCGTGTACATTTATAGGGGTGAGTGTGCATGCATATAAACGAGCATATGCGTTTGTAAGGATCAATTGGAGTAGTTTGTGCCTTATAAAAAAACTAAATTGGGGTAGCTTGTGCCATTACTCTCTGCATTCTAAATTGTAGCTCGGCATTGAATATACACTAAGTGACCAATGCCATATTGTGGAATCCTACAAACTGCCTAACCTTAGACTTAGATTCTAGGGTAAATTCTATTTTTCAACCTCCAATTTGAATGTAAGACCAATTTTCAATCTTACCCTACCAAATTGAGTATCGAACACCCTTCAACTGTTAAAACTAAATAAATTTACTTCTCTGGTTGGTTCCAAATATGGCATTCTAATTTTTAAAGATAATAGAAATATGATCTAGTCTCTAAAAATATAATTGATTTATTTTTTATCAGACAAATATAAAACAAACACCTTTTTTATTAAAATGTTATCTATCTATTGATGATCTATTTAGGGTTATGAAGATCATACTTATTTTTGTTTCTATTGTTTTATTGCTCTTAGTCATGCTCATTATTTATTTAAATTGTTGTTTGCATTGTATTAGACCTGAATATATACAAAGAGGATCTGACATTTTATGAGTACATAGACAGATGTGGAATATGAAACAAGCATCACAGAAACCATGCTCTACCACATGTATAGATCCTATTTAGTCATTACATGGATAGAGTTTTACTTTTATGTTGATTGCTTGATTACGTTATAAGTTTCAAACAAGGGAGAATATGATGCAATCAACTAGTGATGTGATCAATGTAGAGTGTATAAAGCAATAGCTTACATAAATAACTGGTGTGGCTTCAAGCGATGAAGCACTAGCTAGTAATATGAACAAATAAGACCTAGATAACTCTAAATATAGCACCAACAGATATATAGCATTTTTTTTGAAAAATACTACTTTCACATTTTTCTAATCTAAAATAAATAGTTATGAATTTTACATATTAAAATAATCTTTGATATTTTAGAAAACATAAAGCTGTTTTCATAGTTTTGGGTTGAAAATTGAACTGCCGTGCAAGTTTAAGGTTGGCAAATGACATTACTAGACCCTGTGAACTTGTGGATCAATATTCAGCTTCTGCCCTAGATTGTGATATACTACCGCGGCACCAATAAGGTGCAATTCTGGGTTTGTATCGAGTTAACCTTCGTTGATTTTATTTTTGGATGGAGTATATAGCTTTTAACAATCTACAAGGTAGCTTTCACGATCTGATGAACTATTCAGAACTGCCAACATTTTCAGAAACTTGTTTGTAACTCTTGCTACACGGTTCATATTCTCCCCGCTGTTGCATCGCTTGCAGGCTGAGTCATTTCCAAATTCCAAGTACTACTAGTAGTTGCTAACTAACACGATTACACGCAGCACTCCGAAAAAGCGAGACAGATACAATGTCTTGGCACCAACTAGCTAGTACTACTCCCCAAAGGCAAGGACGACCGAGCAATCCAACAGCAGCGCTGACGCCGCCCGATGGCATGTCACGACACGGCCGATGCGTACGGCACCGGTACATCACAACAGATGCGACGGGCACGACACGTACTGCATGAACTCGGCGTCGCGGAGCAGCGCCGCCATGGTTTCCGGGGGCAGGCACACCTCGATGTCCACGCTGCCGTCCCCGGCGCGTCCCGGGAACGCCGACATCTTGCCGTCGAATTTGTTGGCGCGCCCGCTCCGCACCGCGAGGGGCCGGCCCCACCCGAAGTCGTTGCCCTCGTACATCGGGAACCGGTTCGAGCTCCCCATCGTGATCACCGCGCCGTCGGGGTTGCCCAGTGGGAAGCACCGGGGTGCGGCCTGCCACGCCGCCGCCGCGCGCCGGATCGTGCCGTCGCCGTACGCCGCGAGGCTCTCGTTCAGCTTGCCCGCGGCCCAGCGTAGATCGCTGCGAGCCAGCTCCGACACCGTCGCCATCGTCACAGCGCTCTGGATGGCGTTGCCAAAGTAGACAGGTGAGATGGCCGGCTGCAGCCGGTGCCGGCAGTTCACCGCCATTCGGAACGTCGTCGTCGCGTCGGGCGCCAGGCGTTTCCGGGCACGCGTCACCGCGAGCCATATCTGCGCGCAAAGCGACTGGAACGACGAGATCTCCCCGCGCACTTGGGGATTCTCGGGGTCATGCGCCATCTTGCCGTAAACCTCCGCGTCCTGGCCACCGCTCGGACGACGGTTGGCTATTGCTTTCAGCTCGCGAATTGCGTCAGCGCTGAAGTGGAAGACGCGCTCACGGAGAGGCGCGTCCACATCGAAGGTCACCGACGGGCCGACGCCGCCGGGGAAGCGGAGGACGGCAGTGGACTCGCCAAAGAAGTTTCGGCGGAAGTCCGGCACCTTGGGTGACTCGCCGCGGCAGATGGCCGCCCAGGTGTTGAAGAATTGCCAAAAGGAGGTACCGTCCACGACGGCGTGGTTGGCGACGATGCCGATAAAGACGGCGCCGTCACCGAGCACGGTGACCTGGAACGACGTGAGCGGGCGACGGTGGCCTTCGTAGCTCACGGTCCGGTCCATGGGGAACAAGTCCTTTGTCAGCTTGGTGGGCACGTCGGAGTCAGGGACGAGAAAGTCGTCAAGTGACAGGCTGGGTGCGACGGCGTGGAGGAAATCCACGCCCGCGTCGTTGCAGCGGATGACGATGCGGTCGTCGGGCAGCGTGACGAGGCGGCCGGCGAGGGCCGGGACGACGGCGAGCGCCCGCGACAGCGACGACAGGAGGAGCGACACGAGCGAGGGCATGGGCAGGTCGGGGGCCGGGAAGAAGAGCCCCTTCTGGATGTAGTGGCACGACAGCATGGGCAGGTCGGAGACGGACAGCGTGAGGTCACCGATCGCCGACGCGGCGTCCGGGCGAACGTGCTGCCTCGACACGACGGTGATGCCCGAGGGCGGCGCGTCCAGGCAGGCGGCGGCGGCGGCCTGCAGTTTGGGCGCCATAATGGCGGACGCGGCCGGGACGGCGTCCAGAATGGGCATGGTGGAGATCATCTGAGCCATGTGTTGGATTGCCCGGCGCTGCACCACCGGCCGCTTGCTCTGCTGATGAAGCAGTAGCGGTGGCAGTGGAGTGGAGTAGATAGACCGTGTGCGTGCGTGCGTGGGTGAGCCCTGTGCGATACGGCCAAAGAGGTGGTTTGGGCAGTGCCGCCTTTGCTGTGAACACCGAACAACCTTGGGCAGTTTATATAGGGGTGATTGGTTGCACGCAGGAGGGTCCTGAGCCCCATCCCAGCACCGCTTGGTGTAGGCCGTGTTTGGATGTATGTCTCATGTTTTTTTCTGCTCCGTTGCATTCATCTTCACCGTTCCGTCTCGTAAAGATCCGTCTTCTCGATTCCCACTTCTCTCGTGATGCAGAATGACACGATGCACCCATGATACGGATGCTCATATGTTATACACTCAAAACTTTCATTCATGTACATACAACCAAATAAGATCTCATTTTACATTGAACCAACAACAAAAATAATCAAATATAACTGGATGTACAATTTAAATATATATCTTACCATCCTAAACCAGCTCTCTATCCTGGCTCCCCGTCACATCAACCAATCACCCCATAGGACAGACGAGGGGCTGGATGCATGCATCTGAGCCTTCTTTTGCCAGTACTGTTTTGGATATTCTCTGGCCAGGTTTTTGTGGCTGTCAGTTGAAGCTAGAGATTTGTTCTATTGCCTGTGAACAGTGGTGTGTGACAAACAAGAAAACACGAAAGATACCGTTTAAAAGTACTGATGATTTGGGTCTTATCGGCGTAGGCCTGTTCGTCAGTCGGCTTATCGATAGAATCTATATTATTTTTTTTATAATAAAATAACTTCGATCGATTTATCAGTTGACTTTAATACTAACCGAACGGTTTTTTAACGACTCATTTCAGCATAGCTTTTCGCAAAAATATGAGCATATATTATTATTTTTTTGGAAACGTTAATTTGGATTGTTCTGCAGCTGCCAACAGTTGTCCCCTCCTTTGGTGCCTGTTTAGTTTCCAAAATTTTGCAAATTTTTTAAGATTTCATCACATCGAATCTTTGGACGTATACATGAAGCATTAAATATAAATAAAAAATAAAACTAATTACACAGTTTAGACGAAATTCATGAGACAAATCTTTTAAGCCTAATTAGACTATGATTGGAAACTAATTATCAAATAACAACGAAAGTGCTACAGTACCGTTCCCCAAAATATTTCGCCAGCTAAACAAGGCCTCGAATGAAAAGAGTGTCCCCGTAGTGCACCAGAAATATTTTTTATTATTAAATTGTTTTAAAGCAAGGACGGATACCTGTAGAAAGGCGAGCTAATCAAGCCGGTAACTGATGGGTTTGATGACTGTCAGAGCACTTGTTGACGGATATTACAGAGTGCACTGAACATGTTGCTGGACGGATTCAATGAACGTGCAACGGCTTTCCGTATTAAACTGAACAAATGTAACATCACAAGTTTTTTTTGTTGTCGTGCTAATGTATATAGCCTCGATTAATGTCTTCACTCTACCGGATTTTTTAATGCGTTAGCCACGCACTGCTGTAACGTTCGTCTAGCTAGCTACTCGTGCTTAGGCCCCGTTTAGTTCCGAAAATTTTTGGCTTTTGATTACTATAGCACTTTCGTTTGTATTTGGTAAAAATTGTCCAATTATGGACTATTTAGACTTAAAAGATTCGTCTCACGATTTCTCGACTAACTGTGTAATTAGTTTTTTTTTCGTCTATATTTAGTATTCCATGCATGTGCCGCAAGATTCGATGTGACGGGAAATCTTGAAAAATTTTGAGTTTTGGGTTGCATCTAAACGGGCCTTTATATAGGCGATTAAGCTGGGACAGCATCTATATATACAATATTCATGTCGTCCAATCCATATCCGCCCAACAATATTGATTAGTCAGTAGCGTTTACGCCTCCATCATCATCTGTTCGTCAGTTACGTGGTCTACGTCCCTGCTGAAATAGAATACGTTGCTCTTGCCTTGTTGCCTAGTCAGTCTAGTGACATATGAATCGTCGCTTGCTCAATGATGATGCTCTCAGTTCTTTACATTTTCCGTCGAGAATGGCGCTGTGCTCATTTTATTTTTCCATCTCAACAGTATTTTATCGCGCTTCGTGCATTATACCAAACAAATTGTACACTGAAAAAAGGAAGGCTTAGTGATGCTGCTTTGCTGACGGAACACCTAATAAATTAGCTGTAGATACCGCTAGTTCCTACGCAGTTTCAGTCTGTCACTGTACGTGATCCGTACACAACTAATGATCGATGTATTTACAATTGAAGCTGCGCGTACACTCATAACAGTATGTAGCAAGATTTACGGTACGGGGGCGTCGAGGCACGCAGCAGATTGCATGAGCGTACGGGGCTACCTCGCTGTGTTCTCCATCCCCAGCCAGGCGTTGTTGGCTGCCTCGTGCCCCAGCACGCACGCAGGGAGCGTCAGGACGTGGACCATCGGCAGCAATGGCCGCGTGTCGTAGCTAGAGTGCTAAAACGACCCGCAGGACCCAGGACGTGTAATGCGTCGGTTTCCGCTGGTTGCAATCATGCGATGCCAAGCTAGCGTTCGCGACGCGCCCGCGAGGACGTGCTAGCAAACTAGTTGTCTGGGGCGCACGCACGCCCGGTTGTCTGGGGCCTGAGTACATACATGTATCGGACAGGAATGTGTAAACTAGTCGTGGTTGCCCCTCGCTGCTGCGGCTGCTGAGCTGGAGGCCGATCACTCGATCGGCCAGCGACTGAACCTGAGCGCCGCTCTGCCCTGCTGCTGCATCGGCGGAAGACCACTTTCTTATTGCCATTCCGGACTCGTGTTCAGCACTCTCGATTGAGGCCCCCACGGATGCATCGGAATGGCCGGTTTCGGGTATAAGAAATTCGCGGCCGCGGATCCCGATGTCACTCGGGCGGCAGCTTCTAATCCGCCAGGCGCGCTGACGCGCTGTGCTGTGCCTGTGCAGCGCGGCATAGTAAAATGGCAAGCGGGTGCGGCCCGGTGCCCCGCACGCGCGAGCGTGAGCGCGGTCCGATCGGGCGAGGGGGCAGGGGGCTGTAGGCGCCGGGAATAAACAAAAGGCAGACAAGGTGGCCTGCACCCGGCCGGCCGGCGCGCGCGGCACCGCTGGCTCTGCGGCAGCTAAGGTGCCGGCCCTGCCGAATGTCAACCACCAACCAACACGGCTGATGCATGCAGTGCAGCCGTGCAGGCGCAGGTGCAGCTCAGCTGGCGCTGGCGCTGGCGGCCATGGCGGTCGTGGGACGGTGGCGCAAGTTGGGCTCCCGCCGGCCTGGGGCAGCCTTTCGGTTGTCTGGGGCCTGCCGGTCCGGTTGGCAACCCATAATTTCGCAATTTCCGTTCCCCCTGGCCCTGCCCTCTGCACCTGTGACCTGTCTGCGGATCACCGGCCATCGTGGTGCGGTGTCCAAGAACAACCCAGGCCCCAGCTGATAAGCACACGCTGCCCGTGGGACCGTACATTTTCTCACCACCAGCGTCACAAGAGTGGAATTATAGCTATAATAAGCTCCATTTTAAACAACGGTTTTACTCTACCGAATTCAAGCCAATGTTACAGCCCTACAAAGTCCAGATTCATAGAAAACATACATCAAAAGGCAAACATATAGATTTGGTAAAGATCCTTGCTGTATAATCACCGGCTTCAAGCCTTCTCGTCATATTGGATTGGTGATTACCCACCATACAACCAATTACATGTTAAAATACATGTGGGCTTGGGCCCAAATAGAATTCTGAAATTCCCATGAAGAAATCTGGAAGGCACATTCATGTGTGCAAAGAGAGAAAGTGAGAACTTTTTCATCCCATCTTGCTTGTGGAAGTGCAGGTAGCTATACTTAAATATGAAAGTCCTCTTCACTATATCAAGTCTAGTGTGAGGAGGAGAAAAGAAACCCACACCCACACATGCTTGCTTGCCTCGCCTTGTTGAGTTGGCGGGTGCATGGCACCTACGTGAATGGTCTGCCAAAATCCGGCCCCTAGCCTTACGGGGGCACGACCTCTTTTTGCAAATTTAGTTTTTGGTTTCTTGGCCTCTAAGTTTGTGGATAGGAGTCCAAAACAATTTAGATCGTGATCACGACACGAGATCGGCTTGGACATGCCTATGCCTATATAAGCAGCCTATCGGCCAACGCCAAAACAAATCTAACCGAGCTAGAGTTTTGCCTCTTCTCGATGTTGCACCGCCGCCATAGCCTCTCCACCCGAGTGCTTGCGTGCACCGGTGATCAGGAGAGCATGTCTTCGGAACCCTTGTCCTTGCGATCTTGCACCGGAGAGGGCGGTAAGGTTTTTGGGAAGGCTCTTTCGCGCGACTGCTCCCAACTTCCACGACGGTCGCTTCCATCCAAGTCAAGCAATGCTACGTCCTGGCGTATTCGTCATCGGCTGCTCCGAGCTCTTACTCCACCGCTCAACGACAACTTCGTACCACCACCAGCAACATCATCTCCATCACCAGCAACGCCGCCTTCCTCTGCAAACCAAAGCTACACATCCCGTAATCCAGTCTGTTGTTATGTCATTGTTCATACTGTCCAATCTAACCAATATGTTATGTCTAGGTACAAAGGGAGAGATTTGGAGTACAAGACAAGTCGTCCTAGATTCAAACTCATCATATCTCTATCTCTAGAGTTTGTATAAGACACTATCATCTTCCATCCCTAATTGTAAACATCTATACTTATAACAATATGCATAGTTGTTCAGTTAAATACTTGTGAGTAATGAACTTGTTAATTTGGTTGCTTCCATTGCTTACTGCACTCATAGAAGATAATGCTTTCGGTTGGAAGATTGGGGAGGATCATAAGTAATCATGAGAGATCAATGGATCTTCCCAAAGGAATAACCACTTTACACACGAGTTATCCTCCAGAACAAGCAGTGGCATCGCAACAATTGACACATATGGTTACAATGTTTTTCTCCTGGATTCATGAGTG